TTCAAGTACGAGCGGGACTCCAACTACCACCTGCTGATGTCTGTCCAGCAGAGCCTGGAGCGGACCCTTGGGAAGGACGGCAGGGAGATCCCCATCGTTCCCTCCCCGGAGTTCCAGGCCAGGGTGGCAGTAAGTCCAGGCTTTTCCTGGGTAGCAGGGACTCTCTGCTCGTTTCCTTTCCCCTGGAGCGCGGGGGCTGCTGTGGCGCTGGGGAAAGGACAGCCTCCCTCCGGAGCTGTGGGCCAGATCGGTGCCGGTGCAGGGACAGAGACCTCCCTTATTTGAGTGCAGTGGGCGCTGACGTGGTAAAAGCCAGGACAGCTCTGAGGGCTGCCCACGTTGTGCCCCTGCTGCAAGGGGCCCGTGGGTCTTTGCCAGGGTGCAGAATTACCCAGCTGCAGCCCTGACCCCCCACTCCCTACAGAACACTGCTGTGCCCGGGGACGCACAGAGCCAGCTCTGCACCTGGTGTAGGCCCCCCACGTGCCTGGGGTTCCTGGGAGGACCTTACACCAGCCCCTTTGCCCCAGTGTCACTGGTGTGGAAATGCCTTGGGACTGGCCTGTGCAGACTCGCCGAACGGTTTCAGGACAAATGGCCGGAAGGGTGAGGGACAAAGGCGGCCCCCGCAGGCTGAGCTCCATGGCGAGTACGGGGCTGCCGGAGGGGGCATGCCGGCCTCTTGGCTGCAGGCAGCCTGCGCTTTGGCTACCTGGAGCTCAGCCAGCGGTTGGGATCCCAAGTTCCTGTAGCCAGAAACCCAGTGGTGCGGGCTTGGCGCTGGGTTGAGAAGCCAAGGCCGTAGGGACCAGCCCTTGGAAAGGGGGGCCAGGTGCTCGAGTGGATGGGGACCAGTCGGTGTTAGAGGAGAGCCCTGCAGAACTGACGGGGTCAGGGCTTTGCTGCAGGATCAGGGGCTGGGCTTAGCGTAGGACGGAGGACGAGTGACAGTGATCTGAGACCTGGGCCGACAGGGTCATGCTGCTGTAAATCGGGGGCAACCCCTGAGCCAGGGAAGTATCCCCGGAGAAGCAGCAGGAGCACCCGGCCACAGGGTCAGCCTCATGGCCACTCAGCCCGCTGCTAGCCCCTCCGCAGAGCGTGCTGCCTCACCCTGAGGATCTGTCCGGCTCGGCAAGGCGGGTGATGCTGACCTCGTCCCTGTCAAGGGGTTCATTTGGTTTCCCCTTGCAGGGGGCCTCGGAGAAGGATATCGTGCACTCGGGGCTGGCCTACACTATGGACCGCTCGGCCCAGGTATGTGCCTCTGTCCCCCAGGTGTCACTGCAGCTTGTGCTAACGAGTCCCAGTCCTCGCCCTCTCTAGGTATTCACATGTGCTTGGGAGCTGCTCCGAACCGGGGCCCTGGGGATCAGTCCCAGGGCTGCGGTTTGTTCCGTTCCCTTCGGCGTGGGCGCCCCCGGTTGGAGCCTAGTTCGCAGCTTTTCCCTGTGTAACCCTAATAAAGAGCTTCCCTTGGCCATGGCGCTGTGCCGTTATCGGCGCGCAGGGCGAGGCCTGGCCGCTCAGTCGCGATCTCAGGGCTGCTCGAACCACAGTCCCTCCCAGGCCTCACCCACTCGCGCTCTCACTGCTGGGCCCGGCCGGGGAGCGTCTGAGCAGGCTGCAGCCTCGCCCTGAAGTGACTGACAGCTGTCACTGCCCTTGTCGAGGGCTGGTTAGAACTTGGTGCTGCCCAGACTGAAGGCCGGGGGGGTTCCCGCTGGCGATACACTGCCGTGGGGGCCGTGTTTAGCCGGCCTGCGTGTGCTCGGGTGGCCCGTACCCAGTGCAGTGTGGGGGGCTCTGGGTCCCAGCTACCAGGTGTGTTAGCAGCGCTAGGATTGTTCCATCAAGCTGCTTCTGCGACTGGGAGAGCCGTGCTGGTGCAGCCCCGAACCTGCCCGGAACAACCCTGTTTTCCCAGCACGGCCTCTCCGCTGCCACTGAAACCCTGGCTTTGGCCTGCCCCTCGGGGCCTCCTCCCAGAAGGGCTCTTGCTGCTGGAGCTGCAGAAGGGATGGTTATGGGCCCAGGCTTGCTGGTGGCTGCTGGATTTCACGCTGCCCCCCAGCCTGCCCGGTGCCCGGCTCAGCCCTTGTGCCTCTGCGCATTGTTTGTTTTCTAGCAAATCATGAACATCGCCACGAGGTACAACCTGGGCTTGGACCAGAGAACCGCTGCCTACCTGTGCGCCATTGAGAAGGTGTTCAGGGTGTACAATGAAGCTGGGTTCGCATACTGACGTGAGCTGTCCCCTGGCCTCCCTTCCTCCCTCCCCGGGCTAAGGGCACAGCCACCTGCTCTCGCCTGAAATGCTCCCGGAAAGAGACGTCGGGGGGGGGGGGGGTGTCAGGGCATATTTGTCCCTGTGGCTGCAACCTCAGCCCTCCCGCACTGCACGGGGAGCCACTGCCATGGGGTCACCTAGTTCTGTGAGCGTCACCCCGGCAGTGCATTGTCTATTCATAAACCATTTACTGGGAGCAATGCCCCCCCCCCCCCAGGGTCTCAGCATTTCCCTTCGCGGGGAGCGAGGGGGGGGCTGCGCGTCCCGGTGACTCCAGCTCCGCCCAGACCCCTTGAGAGCCTCTTGGGCTTTGGGTGCAGCTGTGCTGAGGGCACTCGGGATTGGCTGGGTCACCTCCTGCAGCTGGACACTGCCTTCCCTGCCCATCCCTGCAGCGGCACCTGGTGCTCTCCTTGCCTGACTCTGCTTCTTGGGCTGCCGTAGCTCGGGAGGGCAGGGTGCTGGTGACATCCTGCACCCCGCAGCGGGCAGGCCAGGCGCGGAGGCTCCTGCAGCATCCAGGCCTTCATGTCATTCACATGCAGCGAGCTCCTCTGGAGAGGGCAGGCAGAGCCGCTGGGCTTCCTACAGCGGTACAGGGCAGATCACCCCCCAGGGCCTTTCCGCGTGGTGATGCCCATAGCGCTGCAGCAGCCAGTGAAACTCCGAGCGCCCCTGGGCCGTGTCGCTGACTTCCTGCTCGTTGGCTTTCATGGCATTCCCGCCTGCCTCTGAGCTCCCCCCCTCCGGCTGTACTCCTGCAGCCGGGCCTGCCCCCTGGCTCCGCACGCCTGCGAGTGGTGTGGGCATGAGCAGCACGCTCCAGCTGGTGCAGCCTCACGTGACCAGGACTCTCCCTCTATGGCAGACGGGTAGAGCGAGGCTGCCCCATGGCACTGACATCAGCCTGTATTCAGCTGGGCGGGGTAGTGTCCTGCCTAGCGATGGGACGTCTCCAGGAACGGTGAAGGGATGGAGAAAACAGGTTCAGGGTTTTGGGTGGGTTTTTTTTTTTAATGGAAATTTTGGGAAAAATTGAAATATCTGCCGTAGTTACTTGTTTGTCAAAACTAACCTTGATTTGCTCTTTTAGAACGAGCAATGTACGGTGTAGAAGGGAGGTAGCCAAGCGTTGCTTGGTAGATTTAGGAAATAAGTATAAATTCTTTCGCTTTGCTGGAGTAATGATGTCACGTGTGGCTCGTGTTCGGGGGGAGCTGCAGCTGCACTCTCAGGTGGATTCGGTTTTGCCCGATGGCGAATGAGAAAAAATCGGAGATGTTGAAAATAGAAAACATCAATAGTGGTGTCAACAGCGGGAAGGTCACAGCCTGTGGGCTCAACACCAGTATGGAAATAGACCCGCCCTGCCATCGTCCTGCAGCCCCACAAGGAAGTTGTGGTTCTAGAGAAGGAATATCCCCATACTCAAGGAGCAGCAGGCAATTTGAGTATAGAGCCACCCCTGCCTCTTTAACAGTGCACGGTCCGCCCTGTGTGCTGTCCTTCTGGACAGATCTCACCAAAGGCAGACCGGGAGTGAGAGAAGGGACCCACCTCTGCTCCTTGTGCCTGGTGTATGCGAGAGTTCCTTGGGGCCCAGACCACGAAGGGTTAAGGAGGATTTTTCTGAAGGGTCGCCCCTCACGTGCTCTCGGGACCTGGCCCCTTGTCGGGTGGCAGTGGGGGGCTGAGCTCGGCAGCCAGCACAGGAGGGGGAGCATCATAGCACCAGGAACTTTGTAAAGTCACCGACCTGCATCGGCCTGTCCCCCCCCGCCCCCACCGGCACCTGCCTCACGGCCTCTCGCGATTCCTCTGGCCAGACCCTCTCCCAGAGCCCTTCACAGGAGCAGAGGCAGGGCCTAGGGGCACCAGGACTCCTGGGTTCTGGGCCTGCGTGAGGCTCAGCACGTCACTGCATAGCCTCATGCCTGCTGCTCCCCCATCCCTTACACAGGCGGGTAAGGCCACCTGCTTCCTAGGGGTCATGCACCCCTTGGGGCTGGGGTCCCAGACAGCCTGGCCCCTGCCCTGTGGGAGCTGGGACCCATGGCAAGGGGGCAGTGGGCTCGGAGCCAGCCCCCCAGAGTGCACCTGGCCAGGCCCTTCCCCCTTGAGCAGCTGCCCATGGGGTCTCATTGAGCCAGCCCCTGTCCCCGTGCCCCAGCCATGGGCTCTGTCTGGTGCTGGGAGGGGGTCCCTGCGGGCTGAGCTGAGGGGACCCTGCAGGGTGCAGACTGGGGGTGCTCAGAGGCTGCAGTGCACCTGGAGCTGCCGGCACGAGGTGGGGGCTGACCCCCAGGCCTGCAATGCCGGGCGTGGAGGGGCGCTGCAGCTGGTGGGATTTTCTCCCACGTGGGGGTTGCTGAGTGTGCACCGAGCTGGGGACGGGGGCCTGGGGGGAGTGCTGTACCCACTCCAGCTGTGGGGCAGTGGGGGCTGGAGCCCTTTATCTCAGGGCAGCCGTGGGGCTATCCCTGGCTCCAGAGTCTGGGGGGTCTCTGAGGGGGGTCTCTTCCCCCCTGCCCACCAGGGAAGAGGCCTGTCCCCTAGGGGCTGGGCTGAGCCCAAATGCCCCAGGCTGGAGGCAAGTGGCTGGCGCCCCTTCTGGGATATGACCCCCATGCCCAGCCCTGTTGGTTACACACCATGACCCTGCAGGGCGTCCCCCTCCCCCCCGGCAGGAACAACAGGCCCACACCAGCTGTGACAGACAAGATCTGGCTTTATTCACAGACGGGGCAGTTGTGTCACTGGCAGCTGCCCCGTGTTGCACACGTGGGGGGAGGGGATCCATGCCAAATCACAACACTGCATTGGGGGAGGGGTGTCTCTTATGGGGGTATTTGGAGAGCACAGACACGACAGCTGTACGGGGCGGGGGGGTCACAAGGGCATAAACCATCCATCAGAATATCAAAAAAAGTTCCATGAAGACGGGCGCAGGATCACTGGGAGGCGCGTGCAAGCGAATGTACAGCAGCCCCAGGGGCGCGTGCCGCCCCGGGGCTCCCGCCGGCCAGGCTGCTCAGCTCAGCGAAACATGCTGGGGCCGGACGCGGGGCCGGCCGGGCTTATGGCGCTGGGAGGGACACAGGGCGATAAGCCGGGCCGGGGGGACACGGCTCCGGGCGGCTGCAGGACGACGACTTTCTCTTTACGCTACAGGACACGATACAGCAACACAGCCTCCGGCGAGGCCCCCGGGCGCGGGGCTGCAGGAAGAACTTGTGACTTAATGGGGCGGGGGGGTCCTTGCCATCGCCCCCTGCGCTGGCACCTGCCTGGGGAGAGGCCGGGGAGGGGCACAAGGGGGCATTGTCATTATTGTGCTGCTGGTGGAGGTGGCGGGGTGGGCGCGGCCATTACGCCTCCGGCTCGTACTCCTGATAGTCCTGCGGGGAAGAGAGACCGCGGCTGGCGTGAGCTGGAGACTGCGCGGTGCCAGGTTACCCGGCACGGCCTCCACGCGGCGGAGCGGCCTGGCCAGGGGCTGCCCCAGGGCCCCTGCCCCCTGCGTGTGCTGGGGACCCGCTGCCCTGGCACTTCTGAGCTGCAGCCCAGCCGGGCGCCTCAGGCCAGGCAGTGATGTGGGTCCAGCACCAGAGACTCGCTCCATGTGGGGCTGTGGCACTGGCTGCATTCCCAGAAGCCTTTGTGTCAGATTGGACCCCCCCCCCCGGGCCGGTCTGTACAAGGCAGCGGACCCGGCTGGCACAGTCCAAGTGCAGGGGAGAGCAGCCTCAGGGCTGCCCATGGAGCCGAGACCCGCCGGGCGCTGAATGCTCTGACCTGGCCCCAGCCCCAGCATGGGCCCCGCCGGGGGCTGCTTTGGGGCCAGGCTGGGCAGTGCACGCCATGGGGGCATCTCCTCAGGCTAGTGGGTGAGGGACCGAGCCTGCCCTGGCCAGCGGCCGGAAGGCACATGGGTGACAACCTCCCCAGCGCAGGCTGCTCCGCCGCGGGGCCGTGACCAGGCCTGACGCCTTCCCCCTCCAACAGGGCAGGGTGCGGGGCGAGCTGGGAGTGCGGCGGGGTGTGTGTGTGTGTCCCACTAGGCTCAGCCTGACATCACCCCACAGCCGACCGGGTGTTACCCAGCAGAGGGGCCGGGGAACAGGGCCTTTACTAGATCCAGCCACAGAGAACCGCAGCCCCGCTGGGCCCTGCGCCCCACAGCCTGCCCTGCCCTGGAGCTCCTGCCTCCAGGAGGGGCACGGGGCTGGGCTGGGCTCCCGTCCCTGGCAGCGAGCTCCGGGCAGGCCGCTCCCACCGCCCCACGGTTCTGACCCCCGACCTGAGGGTGTCTGGGGAGGGGTCTCTGTACCCAGGGACACTGGGCCGCACACAGCCCGGGCAGAAGGGCTACAGCTGCTGTGGGCCCAGGGCCTGGTGCCTGGGGGGGTGGGCACCAGTGTGGGTGGTGCCATGGGCCAGGTGAGCCCATCCCCCGGGCATCCGGGCTCCTGCCCTGCAGAATCGCCCCCCCCCCCCGTACCTGAGGCGGCTCGTCGTAGTTCTCACCCTCTGGCTCTAGCAGAGGGTCAGTCAGCGGCTCCTCCACGGCCTCCTGCCCGACCTCCTCGGGCTGCAGGGGGGAGAGCGGCATCAGGGCAGCCGGCTCGTGCAGGAGAGAGCCAGCTCCCCGAGGGCCCCCGCATGGCACCTCCCTCGGGCGCCACAGCACAGGGCCCAGAGGGGCACAGCTCTGCTGGGGCCGGGGGGGTGCAGCAGCAGGGGTGGGAGGGGGCAGGGCTCTGGGGGCCGGGGGGGGGGCAGGTAGGTGGGGGGGGGGCAGGGGCTCTGGGGCCGGGGGGGGGCAGGGAACGACCCCGTGGGGGGGCGAGTTTGGG